GCCTCCCTCGCCGATCCCTCGGAGGGCCCGCCGCCTGTAGAGCCCCGGGGATCGATCCCGAAAGGGGCCTCAGGGGGGTCCTTGCCCTTGGCCTCGGCGGGCTCGAGCCTAATTAAGGCCTTCCCGCCGAAATTAACGCCTTTGAATAGCCCTATTCCCCCTTCCATCCAGGAGGGGGAGAGGGGGGGCCCGGGCGAGCCTTCCTCGTCCTCCCGCCTGTCCAGCTCGACCTCCGGGGCAGGGGGAGGGGAGTCGCTTCGCTTTCGCCGCCCCCCCCTTTCGCTGCCGAACTACGGGAATACCTGCTATATGAACGCCACCCTGCAATGTCTTTTGCACACCCCTAACCTCCTGTCCATGTTGGAGACCGACGTCGGGCGAATCTACCGAACCGCCACAATCACCCCGGACGACGCGGGAAAGGAAGGGAAAGAAGGAAAGGGGGGAAAAGAGGGCGAGGAAAGCGGCGAGGGGGAGATGGACGCGGCTTCAGCCGGGGGAGGGGGAGCACCCGCGACGGAATCGCTTATTGGGCTCGCCCTGTGTGAGCCCGACGGCCCGACCGAGGCCTTTTTGCTTAAAATCAAAGCCATTGCCGCCGCACGGAATGAGCAATTCAGCAATGGCCAAAACGACGCGCACGAGTTCCTTCTCACCATCCTTTACGCGATCCACGAGGAGGTGAACCGCCGCGATCGCGCGCCCTACGCGGAGATCCCGAACGACCCGACGGAGACGGAGGCCGAGGCGATGGAGCGTTGGATGCAGCACCTCCGCGGCCACGACGATTCGACCGTCTACGACTTCTTCGGCGGCGTCCTCGGCGCCCGCTGCGAATGTCGGCGCTGCGGGAACGTCTCCCTGACCTTCGACCCGTTTCTGGACCTTTCGCTGCCGATCGCGCCGCTGATGAGCCCGGGGAAATCCGCGAAGCCCGCGCGAACGACCGCCGAGGCGGTGGATCTCGTCCTCCGCGAGGCCTACCTCGCGGAAACCTACGAGCCACTCACCGGGGCGAATCAACTTTATTGCGAGCGCTGCGAGCGGCGGTGTGAGGGGCGGCGAAGTTCGCACATTGCGGCTTGGCCACAGGTTCTCGTGCTCTACCTCAAGCGGTTTGACGGGTCGGGGCGAAAAAACGACGCGAACGTGATCTTCCCGAAGACGTTTATGCCGGATGGCCATCGTTATCGGCTCTACGCGGTGTGTTGCCATTCCGGCTCGGAGAACGCTGGGCACTACACGAACTACGTCGCCCTCTACGAAGCGGGGGGGGCGAAGCGGAATCCCAATCAAAAAACCTTTCAAGAAGGGGAAACACCGTCTACCCAATCCCTGCCAGATACGACGATGGAGAAATGGTACCTTTGCAATGATAATAATATTACTGAGGTGGACCCCAAAACAGTCTTCTCAGCGATAGAGAATGTGTACATTTTGTTTTACCATCAACAATAGGGTATCCTATGCCTTCCTGGAGAGGAGGGGGGAGGATTAAAAATAACAAGATTAACGGCGGTATTTTTTTGTCTGTATTCTTTTTTTTTCCCTTAATTTATTGCAAGGTGTACTTTGGATACGTAAACTCTGACTACGAAAAAAAAGCCTTTACGATTATTAGTGGTTTGATGCAACATAATTGAATATGAGACACGGAGCAAGAGTTTTATTTTTTTGGGTGTTGTGTATACTATTTTCAGTGTATATGATATCTATTTTTTTAGCGTCCCTCTATATCTCCTTTCTTCTATTTATTTTTATTTTTTTTGTGTGTGGGGGGGGGTCATTGCTTTTCTCAATCCCCATGCATGCTACATATACCACTCCTTCTAGAAAATTTAACAAATATAAAATATACATTACCTATATCAGTTATCAATAAATAGTGCACCACCAGAAAGGGATCGTTGGGATTGATTATTAATAACATTGTTGTTAGTTTCCCATTGATAATGACAGCAGCCGGAAGTACGATTTACGTCGCCGTGGATACCCCAATTCTGAGCATCCGAGAGGGCATTTTTGAATCTTCCTATTACGGTTATCCAATCGAGCTCACCTTGCCTGGGGTTTGCACAAACGTGCGTGTTGTTCGCCGCTATTCCGATTTTGAATCCTTACGCAATCAGCTCTGCATGGCGCACTGGTATTGCATCGTAGCCCCTATCCCCGAGAAGGAATCCTTACAAGGCAAAATCACCACAAGAGATTCGAATTACAGCGTGATGCTGGAGTACCGTCGAATCGCGCTCCGTCGTTTTCTGCTTCGCATCGCATACCACACCATCCTCGGAAAATCCCCCCTTCTGGCGAGATTTGCCAATGATGAGGAATGGCGGGAATGCGCGAAAAATCCGATCGCGGTCCCCCCTTTTTTATCCGCGAATATCGCGGAAGATTTAGTGAAATCCATGCATAGCCCCACCCCCGGCAAAGGGGACGGGGCGGAGTACGTGAGACTGCTCAACATGGATTTTGACAACGGCGGAGAGTTAGATGGGGCGACGATTGATGGGATCAACAGCTACATTGCCCAACTCGAAGGCAATCTACGCAGCCTCCGCGATCGATTTCAAGCTCTGGCCAACCGCCGACAAGGCGCGGGGGAGGCTTTGCTGGCCTTTTCCTCTTCCTTTGGAGCTCTCGCCGATGGCGAGGAGGATCCTTTTTTGCGAAAGGCCATTCGGGCGGTTCAGCAGCACGGCGCGCAGATCTCGGTCGTTTATCAGGATCAGTCCGATAACGATATGCAAAAGGTGGTGAGTACGTTAAGTTATTACGTCGGCCTGTGCGCCGCGGTACGGCAGACGTTGGGAAATATTTGGTCCGCCATTAGCAAAATGCGCGCGCTGTGTGTACGCGTTCAGGCCGCCGAGGCAAGGCTCACGAGCGTCGGTATGGAAAATTTAGAATCCGCACGAAATGCCCTCGCCGCGCTCACTGCTGAGAAGATGCATCGCGAGCGAGAAATGTGTGGGATTGATAAGACCTTTAAAGAAGAGCTTTGCCGATTTCATCGTGAAAAGCAGTTTGATCTGCGGGAACTGTTGAAGGTCTATGCCGAGCTCGAGGTGACATTTGCTAGCAACATTAAAAGCAAGTGGGAGGGGCTACGTCCTCGTTTAGAAGATCTCGCATCCTAACCGAGAAATGAGAGAGGGTAAGGGAATAAAGGTGTTTTGTGTAAGCACATATTCTGCGAGAATTAGTTATTTCAAATAACATCCTTGGCTTTTACAGGCATCTTCATCATTTTTCCTAGGGTTATAGAAAAAAAAAATAAGTATGCCTCACTTTTAAATATATGCGGTTGTCGAGACTGTTTAGGATTTGTATCGTTAGTCCTTTATCTTTTTCTAGAGTGATATGGTAGCAGGAGCTAATGGTGGAATTATACTGGCCCTGAAGGGGTAAGCACTTTACAGGTGATCCCCCATCCTTTTATATATTCTTCTATATAGATATAGATATTGTCTCAAGATGTACATTGAGAATGAAATTCAATATCCATCGGTTTGTATAGAAGAGTCAGTGTATACATCAATATGTAATGCTATTACGAACTTCTATTTTTCAGATATTTATTACCACGTTACCTTTTCCAAACGAGAAGCAATCAGAGGTAAAGATATGTAGCGGCAGGTGATTAATATGCTATTTATTTTTTTATAGTATTTTTTTGCAAGTGAAATATATATATAAAATAGGAAACCACCTACCTTTCGAACTCTATGTCAACAGTTGTTATGGTGAGCTCGATGACCATATTCAAACATTCACATATTTTTTCCTCTTTTTTTATTCTTCTCTGTTTTTGCATTTCTATAAAATAAATTCTTGTACAATACTAATTTTATTCCTTAATGCTTATTAAGAGAAACATATCGGTTAGAAATATGCATCTTAGTTTCTCTCTTGAGAATTATAGCGAAATGACCGAGGCGCTTTCTTCATTACCCCCAACGTCAGAGTCTTCACTTCAACAGCCTTCAAGTGAAGGTTTTCTAAAGTATGATGTTCTTTGTTGGGTGTTTTTTGTAATAACCTTAATATCCTTTCTAGCTTTGGTATTCTTTTTTGCTTTCCGTCGATGTAGCTACGCGTTGAGGGCCTCGCGAAACCAATTCTCTGAAAATGAATCTGATCCTCTTCTTTTTAACGCTGAACAGGTCCACGAAGAAGGGGTTGCAGAGAAGCGGGATCCGAAGACTCACCCACCTTCCTTGAACTGGACGCGCCATTTGCTTTTCGGCAAGCGTGGTATCACAGGCGCTCATAAAGAAACCATTTCTTCCACACAAGATGCCCATTCGTCCACCACCACCACGGCTGTGGATATTGTGGCGCATTCGTCTCAACGAGGCACAATACGGGAGGGATTACCCCCCTCGACAATTCGGCAAATTTCCTCTAACGCGGCCTCTGAGGTGCCCTCGCCCT